TTACGCGGAGATGAAGGGGGAGGGTGGGGAGAAGCTAACGTTAACCGAGGCCTAACCACTTCCCTCACGGGCCTCGTCTCCTCCGCCACCGCAGACTTGGTTTACAGTAAGCGGGGAAGGAAGTTGAGGAGAAAAATGGTGGAGGAAGCGCGGAGAAGCAATCTAGCGTGAGGATTTTTATTAAATGTTTTATCAAGCGCTTCTTCGAGGCACAGATTGAGGGAAGGAAGGAATCTTGGCGATCTTTTTTTAACGGTTGAGGCACGCGCTAGCCGCGGTAGCCACTGGCATTGTGTGTTCAGTTAGGACGCGAGGTTTCTTAACGGAAAATAAGGTTGGAAAGGTCCAGAAAAAGCCGTTTTCCGATCATTATGGTGTGAAATCTCAGGCGTTGAAGGGAACGGAGGGAACGTTGTCCTTATTCTCAGCTGCACGTTGCATGTTGTGTTTTGAAGCTAACGTTAACAACATCCGCCTAGTGCACTGGCTTCGCTACTTAAAAGTTTACATCGTTTGGAATGGAAAAATATGCTTAAATAATCGACACTAGCGTATGTTTTCACGTGTTTAGCCACTATTAAGCTGCTGTGTCTAATACGGTTTACATTTGTTTTCAAAGTTCAAGCCCCGTTGCTGTGTTGTTTACTATTAGCCATGTGTTGACATTTCGTGCTTTCCTTTCTGCAGTTTGACATGTGATTAGCACCTAATTTAAAGATAATTTACAGGTGGCCACTTGTCACAGTGTTGTGAAATTGCTAAACTTTAGTTTGGAGTTGCGTTTAGATTGTTGTGTACATAAAAGAACCACTGATTCTGTTGTATCCCATTCATATAACTTTATTTCAGGCACTTTGAGTTTTAGACATATTTCTAATATAACCCTTTTGTGTGCCTTCACTGGAAATAGTGTTTTTACAACTGTTCACAAGGCAGCTCTCTGTTGCACGTTTTGTTTTTGTTTGGTTTATTGGGTTGTGCTTTATTTTAGTGTTCTTGTTACAGTGTAATTACACATGTACTGATTTATATGAATTAACTACGGTGTTAGGGTTATGTTTGGTTTCAAGTTTGCTTTAGTAATAACATCAAATGACGCAATAATTAAACACAAATACAAGGACAGTAAAATAAATGTGTTGCTGCTGATAATGGCTTTAACTTGTTTAAACTGTATTTTAACTGATTGTATTTGAATGCAGAGCTTAAACTGTGCATCAGTTGATCATGTATTGTGAACATGCAATGTCTTAATATTGTACTTGCATTTAAAATTATCAGTATGCTGTAATTAATTTCTGAAATTATATCTACAGCTACAGTTGACCCACCTTTAAACCTAACAATCCCACGTAACCTGTACCTAACCTTAACCGTATCCAACCTCAATACCAGTAAAAGTGTTTTGCAGTACAATAAGAATTAAGCGCATAGTTAAAGACTCCTAATATCATTTTTGAAGTGTAGTGTGGAGTTGTAGTTCGCTGTCACTGTGCAGTAGATGCACGTAGATTCGTTGCCCTTCTTTAGTGAGGCCTGTGTGTTTCTGTAGAACTGTTTTCTGCCCTTTCTATGGGCTAGATGATATTAGTGTTCAAAAATGTTGTTGTTGTTGAGTCTGATCCTTTCATGTTTTTCGTGCAGGTTGCAGGAGCTTCTTTAGAATACTATTCTGTAGGATGATGGTCAGCCTGCGTTGCTTTCTGGAGTAAGGGATCTGTTCTGGACCGCTTGTTCCAGCTGTGCTAGGAGGTTCAAGCCAGGCAGTATTTTCACACTTGCATTTCCTTACTACAAAAGTGCTGCTACAACTCTTTACAAAGATGCTCCATCTAAACGGATAACACTAATCGTCAGAATCGAGGATTCTACCAGACTTACTGCTTTTGAGAAGGGCGGATAAGACGACACCCAAGGCTCTTGCAACTCTACTTTCTCTTGGAGTAGTTGCTGTCTGTTGCATTGTTTGCTTTGGTGTGGCAGCCCTTCAGAAGGAAGGGTCACTGGGTTAGAGGGATCTGTTCTAGGGTGGGTGGGGGGGCGGATTTTGGGAGCCTATGCTATGGTGATCGGCTCCCTCTCTAACAACTCCTGCTCAGGCACAGAGAGACTTACTACACCACCCCGGGACAAAGGATAGCCTCCTGGACGAAGAGAGAGGAGGAGGAGGACAACGACGAGGCAGCGCCAGGGCTGAGGCCACTGGGTGCTTCCTAACGGTTGTAAGCGTGTGTTGGGCCTTGTCCCAGCAGTGTTACAGCAGCCATGGTGAAGCTGGCCAACCCGTTGTACACCACCTGGATCTTGGAAGCCATCAAGAAGGTAAAAAAGCAAAAGCAGCGGCCGTCCGAAGAGCGCATCTGCAATGCAGTGTCAATGTCCCATGGGCTTGACCGCAAGACGGTCCTGGAGCACCTTGAGCTCAGCGTTAAAGATGGCTGCATACTCAAGGTGTCCAATAAGGGGCTCAACTCCTACAAGGACCCCGATAACCCTGGACGCTTGGGGTTCACAAAACCTCGGGCGGGAGGCAGTTCCAGCACCTCCAGCTCTAGTAAAAAACCCGGTTTGGACTGGAACAAGCTCATCAAGCGCTCTCTAGAGGGGCTTCACGAATCCGGCGGATCATCCCTGAAGAGCATCGAACGCTTTCTGAAGTGCCAGGCAGATGTTGCAGGTTATCTGTCTGGCAGCGGCTCTATGGGGCCGGGCCTTTTCCACCAGCAGCTCCGACTGTCTCTGAAGCGGGCCGCTTCTCACGGACGGGTGGTAAAACAAGGGCCGCTCTTCCGGTTGGTAAGCAGGAGTTCTCATAACGACGGGACGGGCTGCGTTTCTCTGGATTCTCTGCCTCCGGTTCGTCTGCTGCCTCATGAACAAGATCAGGTGAGTCGATGAAGCTGTTTCCATTGTTTGGTGGAAGTTTTGTGCAAAGCACATTTTCGGTTTCCCTGTCTGATGACCAGTATTTGCATATTTCACTTCTGTTTCGAATAGCGGCTCTCAGCCGTGACATGATTTGAGTAAGCAAACAGCTTTCTGAGACTCGCTAAAACATCCAGAAATAATTGAAAGCAAGTCAAAGTGCATGTTAAATTTCTGAAATTGACTTTTAGGCCTTAACATGTTCAGATGGCTTCCTAATATAGACCGATTTGGAGTAGACGTCACCGTTACGTCACTTGCAGCTGCACGCGCGTGCATTGTGGTGGCAGAAAAACACTGGGAACAAGTGGAGGGAAACGGGTAAAATCCGTGGAATAAGAAAACAAAATATTTTTTGTGCCTTTGGATGTCAGAATTGGAATGAAAATCATTTTTGTAGAATACTGTCGTCAAAGACGCCACTTGAAGCTAAACGCAGACGTTTAAACGGACATACTATGGATGAAAACTGCTATGGTTACTCTACTTTTAAAGCATAAATTTTATTTAACCAATAAGTCTACATAATATTCACATATGCAGTTCATAGGGGACATATGTGACCCTGGAGCACAAAAGCAGTGTTAAGTCGCTGGGGTATATTTGTAGTAATAGCCAACAATACATTGTATGGGTCAAAATTATAGATTTTTCTTTTATGCCAAAAATCATTAGGATATTAAGTAAAGATCATGTTCCATGAAGATAGTTTGTACATTTCCTACCGTAAATATATAAAAACTTAATTTTTGATTAGTAATATGCATTGCTAAGAACTTCATTTGGACAACTTTAAAGATGATTTTCTCAATATTTTGATTTTTTTTGCACCCTCAGATTCCAGATCTTCAAATATTGTCCGATCCTAACAAACCATACATCAATGGAAAGCTTATTTATTCAGATGATGATGATGTATAAATCTCAATTTTGACTGGTTTTGTGCTCCATGGTCACATATTGTATTAGCCCTACAGTTACAGCATAAAATACTATTTTAAACCTATTACTATAAACATTTTACATAACATTTACCTATTTTCTCACAATTCTGACTTTTTCTCGCGAATGCAAATTTATATCTCCTAGTTCGGACTTTATAACTCCGTTTAACTCAACAATAGCGAGTTTGTCAATTCTGAGGGAAAAAAGCCAGAAGTGTGGGATTATAAACTCTTGATTCTGAGCCAAGGTGAAAAGAGAGAATGACGAGTTGTTTTTCTTAATCAGAAATTTGAGATATAATCTCGGAATTGTGAGAATAAAGTCAGAATTTTGAAATATAAACTCAAATGTACCTTTTCTTATTCTTGTATTCCATGGCTTCCATAGACTGCTACTTGAAAACTGTCATTTTCTGCCACCAAAAACCGTCATCGCGGTTTGCGTCTATAAATTTCCAAGGTTTCATGTTCTGAGTCTCAGAGTACTACAGTTGTCAGTCTGAAATGTAGGGCTGGGCGATATATGATATATATCTTGGTATTTTCTATTTGGATTAAAAATATTTATTTATTTACTTATTTAAACATCCTGCCAAATGTTGTCCAATGAAACAATGTTAATATAAAAGGCAATGAAAACAAATATAGTGAAAGTATAGACTATGCTGTCCATTATGTGCAAAGAAGGGGCTAAAATCACATAATATTCTAACATTACAATCTAAAAACAAAAATAATGCTTTTTAAAGCAGAAGTTCAATTCACTAAACTAAATGAAAGTAAAAAATCACAAGAGCACAGATTAATTGCATTATATTTCGATTACCCCATTACGGCGGTCTGCCATCATAAAATACACTTATGATAAGTTTAAAATTCTACATATGACACAATTATTGTGCTCTTATTCTATTGAGCTCCGTCTGTTTGGCGCACATGCGCGCTGCGACGCTTGTTCCCTGAAGTCTGTGAAGTTTAGCAGAGAATCGCATGAAGAAGGCTCATGCACTTCTGACAGCAAAATGGAAATATTTCCATGACTTTCTGAAATTTACAGATGGAGAATATACCTGTGAAATGTAAGTTATGCACTGAGGAAAACGGCACATCTCAAATGCATTAAACAGAACCAGCAGCGTCTCTGTCAGTGGCACATGAGTCTGTCAGAGCATCTGACATCCCGAGCTGCTTTAAACTATAGGCTACGTGTTAACTAGGGATGCAACGGTACCGTTTTTTCAGAACCGATCCGATACCAAAAATTCTGAGTATCTGCAAGATTCCGATCCGATACCAGCGCAGTTTGTTTAAATCAATGCAGAATTTCTATACTTCTGTGATCATCACTCTTGTGTGTGTTAAACACAATCTGCTAAATATAGACAACTTTTATTTTAATGAAAAATAACAAATCAAAAAATATATTTATAATCATAATCTATGACAAAAAAAAATACTAAATTCTGAGTATCTGCAAGATTCCGATCCGATACCAGCGCAGTTTTTTTAAATCAATGCAGAATTTCTATACTTCTGTGATCATCACTCTTGTGTGTTAAACACAATCTGCTAAATATAGACCACTTCATTTGAATGAAAAATAACAAATGAAAAAATATATAATCTATGACGAAAAATACTATTATAAACTAGGTTAGTGGATAATTCAGCAGCAAAAGTTATTCTAGAAAAATCATGGGTGCACAATAATTTTATAAAAACAAACTAAACTAAACATTTAGTGAAACAACATTATTTAGTGGGGAACAAATAAAAGTTACTGAGTATCCGATCGATGCATCCCTAGTGTTAACTATATCTTACGAGTAATTTTGTAGCCCTTAATATAAAGCATGTCTCATGCTCACACCGTGTTCTCTGCTATTATTCAGAAGCGCTCGTATCAAACTACTGTATATCGATATAAACGGTATTGCCTCATGCCATATCGCTTAAACTCGATCGTACAAACTCACGAAAACATGGCAGAGATGATCAAGAATAAGCGGTCACGTGAGTTTTGCTCCCTGCCGCCGAGGCTGCCAGCTGCAAGATGTGCCGCTGTTGTTGGGGAGAGACAGAGAAAGTGTGTAGTGGTGGAAGAACACGCATATCATACCATCCTGCACGAGATGGAGCGAGGGATGAAGAGAGCGAGAGAGATAGATAGAGGCTGAACTGCAGACATACAGGCGGCAAGAGCAGCACAATACACACCCACTTTTTTGTAACCTGATAAATAGCAGCTCTGCCTTATGCTCCCCAGAGGCTAAACACACACGCATTCACACCCACCCACCCCTCCTATCATATCTGATATGGGTCACATCCATGATGTGCACTGCAGGGTGTTGGCTGTCAGAATGATGCCATGCTAAATTTGAGCTCGGTTTCTGGCTGTTCATGTCTGTGGTTTGATTCGGGAACTTGATGTTGAAGTCGTGACGTGCATCCAAGGTTCTCTAAGTGTGTTGTGTCTGGCTCAGGAATCAAGGCTTCCACAAGTGGCCTGAAGTCACATGACAACTCTAGGCGTCTGCAGTAGAAGAAAAGGCTTAGAATTTGCCAGTGGCTTGTTTTAGATTAGATCACTATTGTCATGACAAGTGTCTTTTTTTAGGATGCATAGGATTTTACATTTATTGTAAATCAAGCATTGCAGGAAAAACTAGTGGAATTGTTGGGCCTAGTTGTTGATGCTATTTTATATTTATAACATGGAGCATTTTAACACTTTCGGTTGTGCGTAATTTAAAGTTTGATTTGATTTCTTCCTCCTGCTGGTTTGCTTTTTCCAGAGGTCTGTGTTTTCTTCCCAGCTGTGACGTTTTTGTCATCTATGTGAGTATTATCAGCAACTGTGTTATAGCCTTTGCCATACATGGCATAAATTGGCATTTCTAGGCCATTTACTTTGGCCTATTAAACCTGTAAAATGTTATTGGCTAAATATTCCTCTGCACGAGTCCAATCTCTACAAAATGTTTAAAGTCATTGTCCAGTAGTGAAGCATGACAGGAAAAGTCATTGAAATTCATTGGTCAAGAAGATTGGGAACCGTGAGGTTCATTAAAAGAATAGAACAATAGTCACGTCACTATATGTGACCCTGGAGCACAAAACCAGTCATAAGGGTCAATTTTTCGAAATTGAGATTTATACACCATCTGAAAGCTGAATAAATAATATTTCCATTGGTGTATGGTTTGTTAGGATAGGATAATATTTGGCTGAGATGCAACTATTTGAAAATCTGGAATCTGAGGGTGCAAAAAAATCAAAATATTGAGAAAATCGCCTTTAAAGTTGTCCAAATGAAGTTCTTAGCAATGCATATTACTAATCAAAAATGAAGTTTTAATATATTTATGGTAGGAAATTTACAAAATATCTTCATGGAACATGATCTTTACTTAATATCCTAATGATTTTTGGCATAAAAGAAAAATCAATAATTTTGACCCATACAATGTATTTTTGGCTATTGCTACAAATATACCCCAGCGACTTAACACTGCTTTTGTGGTTCAGGGTCACATATAGTCATTATATTTTTGAACAGAATTTGAATGCTGTACTGCCATGCCAGCAGTGAAGCTGCATTATACGGAGAGAACATTATAAGATGAGAATGTTTAAGAATTGGCTTTGAGTGATAAGTGACAGTACCACAAAATATATGTAATCGCAGTTTGAATTGATTTCATGTTCAGACCAGATAGTTTTTACATTGTGTTGCAATTCACATGCAGCGTGTGTCATCATTGCTTTTTACGCAGCCTTCACTGTAGGGTTTTTAGTTTTTATCTGGATCCAGGTTCAAAAACAAATTTTGGGCTTTGGACATGTTTTCCTCACAAAGTTATACTTTTACTGCAGGAATTGTCATTTGAGGGCGTTGAATTATTTGTGACGCAGCTTTGATTTTATGCTTGAATTTAGAAGAATGCACTTGATTTTTCACTAGCAGGTGTGTTTGTCTGATATGGCGGCTGTCAGTGATGCTGTTTTCTGCTT